CAGCTTTGTCATCAGAGATGCTGTATTTCAAATAGTCCTATTTGACAAGGAGCTGAAAGAAGGAGCTAGGAATACTATTTTTACAACCAGTATTCATTTGAAAATGTTAATCTATAAATTATTGCTTTCACACCATTAAATATAAGCCTTGTACTTTATTTTTCTATTCTCTGACATACTAAAAAAGGACATCAAAGTCAATTTATTTGTTTAGTGGGTGGGGCATGCAATTACCTCAAGGTTGAAATAACCACTAATAGTTATGCCTCCGTTGCTATGCTGAGCCAAGGAGAATGCTTTGAAGAGGCAGGTTTGTATTATATTAAGTTGACTGCAGTCCAGGGATCTTTCAGATTACATTTTTAGACTAAAGCAATTTTTTTAAAGGTGCGGTGAGCTGTCTGGCATAGAGTCAAACTCCCAAACAAGCCCCTGTAGGTTCACATGAAAAATATAGTCTTACCTTTTTGTTTGCTTGCTAGCCTTGCATCTGGCTTATTTTACCTCACTGTTTTGACTACATGTACCTGTTGTACTCCCTGGTACCCTTCCAGATAATTTGAGAATTTTTTGCTTTGTCTAAGAAGCAAATTCTGGGAATCTGAGAGGTTATTGTTGCAAATGTAGAGTGAATCTCCAAAATGTCAATATTAATGTCTTACTGCTTTTGCCAACTCCAACAGCCTAAAAGTCTACTGAATGTGGTGGAGCAAGCCCCTTTTCTAGGACAATGATATTTTCCATTGAATTTAAAACAGCAATAGTGTGGCAAGACTTAGTGTGCACAAGCATTTCAAGGCATTTGCCTTTTACAAGCTAAGTTCCATTGCCATCCTTACCTGTGTAAACCTTCAAAACATCAGAACGGTCAACGTCCAATGCAGGCATCCCTAAACTCATATACTGGTGCTGGTACTGATCCTGCAGCATTTACTGCTACCTTCACACTATCCATCAAAGGAAAAGTCCTATCTGCACAGTAAAAAGATGCTATGCATTTTAGCTCTAGTAGCATGTAGTTTGGTGATAGTGAAAATAGGTTGTCAGTACACAGAGCAAAGTGCTCTAGAAAACTTTTCAAGTCATTAACATGAACGGGCTGAAGTCCTTGCTTCCTCATCACTGCTGCTGGGCTCCTGTAATCTTGCCTTCTATACCTCACTTTTCTCTGCAGACATGTTCACAGCAGGGAGCTATTGCATTCACTTCTCTCAAGCTCCATTTTCCTTCACTCACTGTGTGAGAAGAGGAAGAAAGGAGGAAATTGTGCCTCTGCTGTAAAGGCAAAAGGGGACCAGCCAGGGTCCTACAGGAACTCCAGTTCCTACCGTAATGGTCACCTCCTTTTTTCCAGGTTCATCCGTCTGTCTGCTTGGCCAACTTCCAGTCAAGTGAGGGCAGCCCCTCCTGCAATGCTTAAAGCCTTGGTAAGGTATATCATGTAAGTAGCCTTGGACTGAAGGTTAAGTGTATGTTCAAACAAAATTCGGACTGAAGTCTTTGTGAAACACAGCACCTGCTCAGCTCACCATCTCCTTTGTTTGCACTGCTGTAAGGAGTAGAATTCAATCCCTTTCATTTGAATTTCAGATGCTAGCGCCTTTTCTAAAGTTTTGACAATGTTTTTTACCCTTCTTGTTTGTATTAAATATAGGGAGGAATGTTCCTTGCATATTCCTGTGTAACATATGCCTTATTGTGGGCAAGAATATCCCACGGTGCCATGGTGAGTGGTATTCAATACTGCAAGCTTTAGGCTTATGTTGAGCAGCAACAGCCAACACTGTTGATGCATGCAGCCCAATGACTGCAAGCACTGTCTACCACAATGCTCTGTCAGGATATTAGCAAGATTCTAGGTGAGGACAAGCTACAGAGCCAGAAACTTTGAGAGAGGAATCAAAATGCCTCAGCTGCCTCCTGGCAAAGTTAGAGATATTGCAAAGAGCTCACTACAGATCAAGTGGTTGTGGTACACATCAATGAAAGTTGTCAGGAGCTCTTTAAAGTTAATAAATTCTATGGGATATTGC